ATTTTTCATTCAACCCTTCAACCTTCAGCCCTCCCCCCCCCTCCCCCCCGGGCAGGGGGCTTCTCAAGCCCCATTCGAGAAGCCCCCCCTTCTCAAGCCCCCCTTCGCCGAACTATGATGGAGCATGCCCCCTTTTCTCCAGACGCTTGAAACAAAGAACGCCACATGAGAACGCTCGAAATGAAGAAGAAGAGTTGAAAGAAAATGAAACCGCATCCATTTTCAAGGGACTTAGAATCCTGACATTGCTCTTAACGTTTTGGAGTGGAGGCAAAAAAAAAACCGAAAAAGAACCTTGTGACGCTCATTTTGTTTTCACGGAGTTCAACTCGAGACTGACCTCTCTTGGAGACAGTCTCTGTCTTTTTTGGAATCCAACAAAAACGTTTTCTTGGTTCAATCCAGATTCAATCCAGGTTATTAAACCTCCAGGTTCAGGTTCAATGAACCTGAACATGATTTTTTTTTGGGAAAAAGAATTTGAACCTTCGAACCTGGGTTCACCTGGATTCGAACTAAAAGAAGAGAGCTCCTGAGGTGAAGCATCTGCCGAAGCCTCGGCCTCCTGATCACCTGAAGTGATTGCGTGTGGCTTTCTCTTTCTCGTGTGTGAGAAGGCTTGAGAAGGGGCCCCTTCTCAAGCGACTCAAGCCCCTTGAGAAGCCCCCTTGAAGCCCCTTTGAAGCCCCCCTTCTCAAGCCCCTTCAAGCTCCCCTTCCACCCTTCAACTTCAGCCCCCCCCTCCTCCCCCTTCGGCTGGTTCTCAAGCCCCCTTTCAAAAAGCCCCCCCTTCTCAAGCCCCCTTCGCCTGAACCCGCCAAAGGCTAGATGAGATTGTTTCCCGCCGGAGGATACCATATGCAAAGCTCCGTGGAAATAAGTCATCTTTATGGTTTTGTGGCTCCATACTGCATTGCGGGCTTGTAGGTTGAACCAACCAACGCATGTCTTGTTCCAGATCTTTGTGATACAGCACGCGGTAAACTTTTGGATGAGCACCTGTGTATGAAACGTCCAAGTGCTGAAACATCTGCACGGACCAGAATGCACAGCTCGTCTTGCAGTCTTGTTCTTGCAGCAACCTTCTTGCAAGTGTTTGTTTGAGAGTCATGTCCGTTGTCCGAAAAGCCAACATAGAGTGTTCGAGACGCTGCATAGAGGCGAGCCCACTGTAGCTAGGAGCAGGGAGTAGCTTGCCAAACCAGGTGTCGATACAACAAACGCACCAAGCGAAAGCAGAATCGGTTTTTAACAAGATAGCATGCAGAACATGCAGGTTCAACCTTCAGCCATGAACACGAGACCCTCAGCACCTAAGCCCCATGAGTTGAAGCATTCCGCGGATTGCCCTTTGGGTCCAGCACCCTTGCAATTGCCATGGCCGCTGATGGTCCGGTGTACCACCGTGGTTCAGGCTTAGAGTTCTGATTGTTGTTAGAACAGATCGTGGCTCGAATGGTGCTGAAGCGAGGGTTTGTTCATGTTACAACCGCCATCATGATCATGATGGAAATGATGATGCATCATCATCATCATCAACAACAACACCATCAACATCATCATCATCATCAGCATCATCATCAGCATCATCATCAGCATCATCATCATCATCATCTCCTCATCATTACCACCACCACCATCATCATCATCACCACCATCATCATCAACATCGTCACCAACATCACCATCGACATCGATATTAGTATATCATCAACATCATTATAATCACCAATGTCATCATCCTCATCATCCTCATCCTCATCATCGTCACCACCACCATTATCATCAACATCATCTTCATTATTGGTCCTATTTAGTTTTAATTTGGCTCGAAATCTCGTCCATGCCAATGCACCTACCATGTTCACTGCCATGTTCGGCGACATCTTTATCACAAGCACATCAAATGGACCATCAACCAGATCATTTTCAATAGTTTCATCTGTAACTGCCGAAAGGGTTGATGCTGCTGCTGCTGCTGCTGCTGCTGCTGCTGCTGTCGTTGCTTGAAGTGCTTCGAGATCCTGCATGTAAGGCTGTGGTTGGCCTCAGTCGCAAGTCGTTTTTAGCTTGCTAGCTTGCTGCGGCTTTTGTTTCCTTTCCACAAACCCGGAAGTGGGTGGTTTGCTTGCCTGCAAGCTCCGACTCCCAAATATGCAGCCGGCGTGGGCAGCAAGAGGTCCGGCTGCGGCGTAAACTGAGCAAACAGCCTTCGCAAACTCATCAACCCCCATGAGTTCCCGATGATGCAGCCAGAGGCTTAGATGCGGATGGGTCGTCCTTGAAGAGCATTCTTGAAGACATGCATCAGAAGATGTCACTCGGCTGAACTTCGCTCCCAAGAAGTGTACAGAGCGACATTCTAGATCTGGATGGTTCTTGACGCGGAATGTTTATTGAAGCTTTTCGAATTAATTAAACTCTTCAGCAATGGCACCTTGCGCTCCGGATTCCAAGCTGGGGCTGGGGGGTCTGGGTCTCAAGCCTCAACTAGTTTCCTGAGGGTGTAGGGTTTGAGTGGGCTTTAGGGTTGGGTTTGGTTGTTCCGACAGATCCACCAACACCTTGATGGTGTCCTTTACCCGAAGCCTTGTGCCTCCAAAGCCAGTGAATGTTTCAAGTGGACTGCCAGAGGGCTGCCTCTCAATATTTGCAGGCTTGTGTCTGAAGTTTCGGGGTTTGGGCTTGCAGGATGCTTTGCAGTTTTGTTTCGGGAAATCCTTCCCCTCAGCTCTTTGTGGAGCGCGGCTCCAGCCTGCTCTTATGCAAGTCAGGCTCCTGCCCCCAAACCTACAGTTCCCTGCGTCCTTGCTGCTTTCCACTGCCCTGGTACCGGATCAGATCCGTTCGCCCTCTTGCCGGCTAGCTTGTTGGGACCTGGGGCGACACTGAGGACTGCCTTGCCTGACCGGGCGGGTCGAGGTTGCAGTCCGATGAGCATCACAGTTCCCCATTTCAGTCTTTCTGCCTCTTCAGCCACTGCCCTCATGGGCACATTCGCTGAGGGGCCCTGCAAAAACGGAAATGGATGACCCGTGCTAATCTGCTCGCTCTTGTTTTGTCAGGGCTTGATCCCCGGAGAATTGGGGTTTTCAGCGGGACCTATCTGGTGATAGCAGCTCATCCTTTTCGCGCTCTTAGGCATGATCGCTTGATCTCCCCCCACTAGTCACTAGTCTTGAGCAGCTCAACTTCTTCGTGGCTGTGCTCTTTGTCAGGGCTCGATCCCTGGAGGGTGTCTCAGTGGAACGCCAATGGTGTGGCGAAGCTCAACTTCATTGTTCACCCTGAAAGTACATCTGTTGAACCCTCGCTGGTGGGGAGCAGCTCAGCTCAACTCCTTCGTGGCTGCGGATTTATCGCGGCTCAATCCCTGAGGGGGTCTTCAGTGCCCGCTGGCCCTCTGGTGGCTGCAGGGTCAACATGCCGGAACAGGTGAGGCTGGATATGATGCGTCTTGCCTTGAGAGCTCTGGTAGTCATTACTGTAGTGTGCTTTTGGTCGTTGTTCTCCGTCTTATTCTTCTCTGTGCTCTTTCTCTGTTGTGTCTCGCGGTTGCAGTGTTTTCGGACGTTGCATGTCATTTTCAGCCGGCAAGCGGAAGGTGATACCGCCTTCTTCTAGTCAGATTTCGATCTCGGTCGTCCATTCCATTCCATTCCATTCCATTCCATTCCATTCCATTCCATTCCATTCCATTCCATTCCATTCCATTCCATTCCATTCCATTCCATTCCATTCCACACCACTCGACATCGCCCCACTGAGCTCTAGGCCTGACCCCGGAAGTCTTCACTGTGGCCTGACAAAGGCAGTTCCTATGTGAGGAGCTTTCCTTGGGCCGTGGGCCAGCTGAGGTCGGGCTTGTTTCCGAGGATTAGGATTTCGAGTTGGGATGAGAGTCGCAGCCTCTGCCTCCCCAAGCTGCAGAGATAATATACCATCTCTAAACTCTCAACCGTGCATTTTGCGACTTCATTTTGTTGAACCGCTTCCGAAGAGGTTTGCCTCTAGGCTTTCGGGAGGCCTCCTATGTAGAGATGTACCATTAATGTTCCAAGATTCAGGTTAGAAGGCGCCTTGGATTGGTGATTCGGGGTCTGCGGCTGGTCAAACATGAAAGCGCTTAGATCCCAGGCTCCGACATGTCTATCCGCCGGTAGGAGCACGTGATGTGGACTTCAACAGGTGGTGCGAGGTTCTTCGACATCTTGGTTTTTGGAGTTTAGGGTTTATGGTGGTGGTGGTGCTGCGTGTTTGCGATCCAATCCCCGAAACCTCTCCCTCCAAATAAATAGTTTGAAGCCCTGAAACCCATGAAAGCTTACCGCTCCGACTCCGAACTCTTGGGAATGTGGAACCAAGTTCGGAGTAGGCCGTGAACCCCCAACCAACCCTAAACCCATTGAGGGCTCTCATCCGAAAGGCTTCAAAGCTAACGGGCGATAATGAAACGCACGAGTCTTGCAGTATCTTGCAGTCTTTCAGGCTTTGACTGAAACCATGGCATATCGGAAGGCCGAGGAGCCCGCCCGCGCCATCCTCCGAAGTTGCGCCACATTGCGCAGCTTCGAAGCAATTTGATTGCAGGGTTTTGGGCTCCAGAACTTCTTGAGCTGAAGTTAGTCCAGAAGTCTTGGGCCGGTAGTTAAGAGGCACTGTACAGGGTTTGCGGAAGCCAGGTAAATGGTCCCGACTCCGTGACCTGTTCCTGCACACTGTATAACATGTCTATCCGTCGAAGCCTGTCGCGCAGAAACCTGGCTGCACGTTTCAATCCCCGAGATCCGGCCCGATGACCTTTTGCGGGCGGCGTCGTAGTTTGTTGTGGCTTCTACTGTGTTTCACCTGTATCATCATTACTGTCCTTGTTTCGTTTTGTTGTTCGTCTTGGAGGTGGTGGAGCTGGTGGCGCGACTCCCCGTCTTCGGAAGAGTTTGAGCGGGTTGCATGCTGTGCCTGCTACACAGGTACTGTCAGCCAGGACAGCTCCGAGCTGATGCTTTGCAAAGCTATGGGATTCAGCGCGGTTGGTCGTCATATGCAGGCTTGCAGAGAGGTATATTCGCTGTAGGTGGTTCTGGTTACTTTTGCAGCAGCGGATGCCAGTCCGTCACGAGTTGTTGTGTAGATTGAGTGTTGAACTCATTTTAGGTGTCATGCTTGATGATGTCTACCCACAAGATCTTCAATCCGGAACGTGTGTTCTCGCAGGGTTGGAAGGAGGTGTAGCAGTGTTTTCTGGTGTTGAGTGGACATTTCTGCGGTGCAAGGATGGCTGCGCAGGGTGGTTTATCAAAGCCATCAAAGCTGTTGTGCTCAGTTCATCACCCAAGCCTTCAATGGAACACCAAGATGTGAATCTCTTCACGATCCGCCTACATAGTATTCCAAGCCTTCATCCTGCCACCTTGAAACTTTCAAGCAGAGGTCCAAAGGTTTTGCTGCAGCCTATCCGACTCTAAATCGGACCCGCTGAGGCCCTAAACCTAAAGCCTAGTACAACTGCAAGGCAGCAACACAAAAGCCTACATCTCAAACCCGACAACACTAAGTCCGCGTGCGCCGAGCCCCGAATCCAAAAACCCGAAGTCCCAAAATGTTTTAGACATCAAACCTGCACCCTGAATATCCCTGAAACCGCAAATCGACAGACGAAACCTTACTGCTGCTCGAACCTCGTATGAGCCTTATAAGAAAACCCTTTTGCACCCTATTCCCTCCTCTAGTTGCACTAAACCCTGCACGAAAAACCGCTCGACAAAATCCGGAGCCTCTATACCTGAAAGACCTTAATTATACCTTATACTTCTTACTCAAGCCCGAGGCCCATAAACCCTGAACCTGAGCACCAAAATAGCTCTTGAGAAACATGCACCCAGGAACTCGGCCCGCTCTGGGGACTGCAGCCGACCTCCTCGCTCGGGGCTGCTGTCCAGGGGTGCCCCTGAAGAAGAGCAGTGTGGTTTTTGGGTTTTGGAATCACTTCTTGCTTTGGTGCTATAGCTTTATTGGTTTAGGTCTGAGGGTTTAGGGCTTAGGGGCTTGCGTCCGCGGCTTTGTTAAGCAGTTGTTTCGGTCCACGGTGTGAAGGCTTTCCTAGGGGTTACAATTCGGCCATTTGCAAGGTCCTAGAATGGAGAATTGAGGTTTAGGATTTGTGGCTTGGGGTTTGAGGCTCTGGTTTTGCCAATCGAGGTTTGTGTTCGGCCGGTGGGTTCGGAAACTTCTGGGATTCACATGGTTTCCCTGTTTGGGCTTCTCGGAACGTCCATGCTTCCGGCACAAGCACGAAGCACAGGGACTCTGAACTTCCTTTTGGCTCGCAGCCTCTCGCAGTTCTCCAAAGCCGACAAGCCAGACCATCAGCATAAACGGAGACGTTGTTGGGAGGCTCTATGCTGACTATACTCGGCCGTACGGCTCTCACACCCCAGTCAGCAGGGGCAATTGCTAGTTGGCCAGCTAGCCATGTAGAGGAGTCCTTCAGATAAACACCCCCAAGTTTGAATCCGGATGCAGGTCGGGTTCAGGGTTGAGCTTGTTGGGTTTGGGGCTGGCTTCGACATTTGAGCGTCAAACACAAGCCACTCGGCAACCAGGTGCCACCAGCGCATTCGGAGACTCTGAAGGACGCGGGGCTAATCTATTTACCGAGCGAGTCTCGTGATTGTGCTCCGTCTCGCTTCCCCTCCTCTTCCACATCACCATCATCATCAACAGCATTAATATCAGTATCAAGATCACAGTCAGAATCATGAGCAGGCTGCAGCTCCTCAACTAGGAATTTTCTCTGGGCCCCGACAGTTCAGTTCCCATCGGGCGGCCAGAAGTTCGAATTTGGATGGGCCTCGCAGGAAGATCCCTACCAGCCCGATCTCGCACTCACTCGGAGCACGAGAAGGCACTCTCGGGCTGTCTTCAATCGCCCAGTCCAAAACCCGGAACTCTGAGCCAGTTTCCTCGAAGGCAGCTAGTAGTCCTTCCTTGGGCACCCTCAACCTTAAAGGTTTACGCACCAGGTCTTCAGTCACATTCCCTACAGCACATGTACAGTGCCCCACTTTTTGATTCTGCACAATGTCAAACTCGGTTCTTGAGAAAATGCAGCTATGGTGTTGGTCTCACCAGTCGTGCCAACTGCGCTACCGAATGATTATCTGTCCGAACTCTGAAAGACTGAAACCCTTTATCTATAGAACTAACAGAGTAACTGATAGCAAAAGATGAAAACAATCAGCAGCAATCTCCAGCGGTACACATATCAGAAGTGATAGTCGTAGTAGTAGTAGTAG